GTTAAATGAATCATTGCAGTTGTAAAGTTAGTAACACGGTTGTTAAGTGAATCCAGCTTCCCCATTGCTTTTGCTTGTCAGAAGGTTACAAAAGGTGATCACATGATCCTGGGATGCTGCAACCATCATAAATATGAGCCAGTTGCAAGAGTCTGAATTTTGATCACATGACGGTGGGGATGCTGCAATGGTTGTGTCAAAGACAGTTATAAGTCATTTTTTTCAGTGTTGTTGTAACTTTGAATGGTCACTAAATGAACGGCTGTAAATCGAGGACTATCTGTAATCTGGAATATTCCTGCCCCTTTTTTAAAAATATACCAGAACCAACGAGAATTGTATGAAAACAAAACTACTGTTCCCTTTTATCTCCCAAGGGGTAGTCCCACCAGTGTTTCACAACACAAACAGGATCTAGGAGCTCCTTAATGACCAACAGTTCATTATCAGATTAACTTAACCAGTTCATAGTCCATTACTCTGCGAATCTGATGACACAGGTTAGGTCTGTGAAGACTTACCAGTTAATAAATGGGATGTCTTTAAGGTGCCCCAACATTGTGTTCTTTTGTCTTCTATCTCCCGATTAGCCTTGAAATCTCAGCTTCAATCATATCATACATCTCCCAGGTTCCCTTTCTTTCAGCTGCTGGCCCCACACCTCTTCAGATAACAGATGCCAGATGTAATCAGGAGGAGGATGGGGAAAGCTCTCAAGGCCAAGTCATTGGGGGGAGGATTAATTCATAACCAAAGCAGGAGTTTGAGACAGTCTTCCTGGGACCCTCCTTAATAAAAGGAGAACTTCTAAGCCTAAAGGGAAGGTGGCTGGATTATTACATTTTGAAGAAATTGAAGTTATCTAGAATTCTAGATCTCCATTTAAATGCTGGGGCAACTCTTAAGAGTGATAATTCCTAAGCTCCATGGTCAATATTCTTCACTGCTTACAGAAAGTAAGTCTATAAACCAGAACTTCAAAAGCAGAAGTTTGCAGCTTATTTGCTGCACAAGTATTTTGTGCCTTCTGAGGTTGGTAGCTGAGAAACCCTGGTTTCTGAAGGTTTCTGAAATTGCTCACAATTTGCCTCCAGTTTCCATGACCTTATCTCTGGTCGGTCTGCTGATGTAGCTTGTCAACTGAAATTGTGGTCCTCAGCAGGACAGCTAATTTGTTTTTTAAATTTATTATGTATTATCTGGTAGATTGATATCAGTTTTCCTCCCGGAGCTCATAACAATCCTTTCCCATTTTTCCAACAACAATTCCATTAGGTAGGAATTGAGAGAATAACTGGTCTAAGTGTTCACTGAAGACCTTCTGTGGGTGTGGGAGGGGCTAGAATCTATGTTTCCTTGCTCATAGCCCAACAACTCCATAACAACATCATGCTGCTTCTCACTTTTGGAGCAACGTAAGAATTCAACAAAATGGTGGAAATGGCTGGCCATTTTAGGTCTGTGGAGGTGCCAAGCCTACCCTTGTTGAAAGGTACCACCATCAGTGGCCTTCCATTTGTTCTGCTCCGGTTCTGAATGGGGTTCCCCTTACAACGTGCCCAATGTTTTGACCTTTAAATATCCTTGCTCTGAAACATTTTATCTCCAGGGCTAGAATATTTCAATCTTGAATCATTTAGCACCCTTCTGGGCTCTCCTTACCTGAACCTTTCCTGACCAGCAGTGTCCCAGAGTTGAAGCTTCACCTTGATTCCTGGAGGGAGCTCCATCATCTTGCTGTAGAACTCTACACCCACTGTGGGACATGGGGTTGGGATGAAGCATCGCTCTGTGTATCGCCGCAGCAGAGATGTTTTGCCCACGGTGGAATCACCCAGCAGGAGGATCCGAAACTGGTAGTGCCAGTTGCCACTGGGTGGGTGGGCCGGCATTATCAGCCCCAATTTTGCCTCAGTAGATACTTCCATTGTGGAAAGGTTGACAGTGGGAGCAGGAGAGCAGCCTTGGCATGGAACCTTGAAAAGAACCTGATTGTCCCTCCTCTGCTGATCTCAACAAAGTTCTGCTACTGACAGAACTCTACAGGATGAAGATACAGAGGTCTCCACCCTCGAGACTCCCCCCCACAAACTACTATCTCCTCTGGAACAAGGAAAAGCCAACCCACCTCTTAGGAGGAATTCCTTTCGCTCCTCCTCTCTTAGCTCCACCTATCACATTCCCTTCTAGCTTGGCTTCTCCAAACAACAAAGCCTCGAGGTGATCTGATTTCTGTTTTTGAGGGATGATTAGACAGAAACATGGATTGCCTTGGACATTATGTGGTTTTAGATTTTTTTTCTTTGATGTCCTGTTTTAATCACAGTCACCTTTGTGAGTTAGGCAGAGACAATAATTGAATATATAAATACATAAATCTATTATTTCAGATACGTGTGCATAAAGAACTGTGTCTACTAGACTTCTCTAGAATATCATCTCCAAGCTCTCTGAATTGCTGCTATTGTGGAATAAAGTAGAATTCTGGAACATCCCAGAAGATCAGATTTCAAAGATCAGATTTAGAACTCGGTGGATTCCACTTCTGTAGAAATCAAGTTCATCAAAGAGAATGTAGATGTTCCATCTAGTAGCAGTTGGGCTTCTTGCTTGATTCAGAGGACCATGACCCAAACCTATACCAATGTTTTTAGGAGCACTCAAATTCTAAAAGAAAAAAGGGGAGGAGGTAAAGGAAATCTACCAGTTTTCTTCCCCTTTGCAAATTGACTGTATCACATCCCCACCCACAGCTCTTAAGAATAACATGCAGACTTCTTCCCCAGTTCCTCTTTCCTTTGCATGCCAGTCTCTTAAAAATCAGTCTTGCTGTTTTGTTATCTATATTCTTCCAGGCATTAACTGATAAACTATTTAGATTTGTAGTAGCTTCTGGGGAAGAGCTTAAAGGAAGACCTTTCTGGAGGACTTGTGTTCCTTACAATGCAGCAAACCCTCATCTCCAAAAGCAGAGTTAATACAGGACTAGGAAGCCCTGGGAAGTCTTCTTTGCCCTTCCCTGCTCTCCTTAGCTGCCTCCAGCGCTTATCTAATCTCTTCCCCCAGCCCCCAGTCATGTGCCAGCAGCTCCTAATATTATGCATGAGGGCTAATTCACTCCATCTATTTTGCACATATAGGACAAAAGTCCTTGAGCAAGGGGGGCCCTCTTGCTTTTTCTTTCCAACTTCATTTCATCTGAAAGGCATACCTTCCATCTAGCAAAAATATTGATAAAGCAATTGGAAAATTAGTTTGCAAAGAACATCCAACACCACCTTAATATTCCATTATATCAGCCATTATAGATAGCCACTTCTTCTGATGACTGGAGAAGTTGAAACTTCATGAGCAAACTGGGTGCATTTTTAAGTTTTTATCCCCTTCTTTGCTTTTTGGTTACTTTAAAACTTTCTCATGCTTTCATGGCAGGGAATTGCATAACTGATTTTGACTAATCATGATTATTCAGAGACGCACAAAGACTTTGGAAGACCAAAGTCCCTGTCTATTCTTCCTTTCACAAAGCCACCATGAAGCCAATTCATAACCAAGTGGAGGGTTGATCTTGGCTCTTCCCAGCTTACACCCCAAATCTGTAAACTACATCAAATTTCCCCATCCTCAAACTAGACTATGATTTCCATTCTTGTCAATACCTCTAGAACTGAACAGAAATTTTAGCTGGAGTACATTCTAACAAGCATTCCTATCTTCCTTCATTTAATGCTCAGGGAGTATGTTTTAACCAATTTTGAATGCACACCCCTATTCGGCAGAGAATAGTTGCTTCCTCCAGGCTGGAGAGTGGTTGCTTATTTTTCCCCAGCAGGCCTTCAGACACCCCCCCATGCAAAAATAAAAAAAATCAACTGCTTTTGTTCGTTACCCAGGTGTGCTGAATTTCTATCTGACATGGTTGTGAAAGGTACAGCAGTCCTAAAAATAGAACTGACCAAACAATTACATCTTATCAGCCCTCCTGTTCCTTGTAGTTTTTTTTCAAAATCCAGGTGATCTAAGGATCAACTGTGCATGAAAAGCATCAGGTATTGTGTTTCTGTATGCGTATGTTTTTTGAGGCTTTGGAATCACAAGGCATGGAGAAAAATGCTGGCGCTCACCTGAGTTTTTGACACTTGCATCCATCCTGCCAGTGTGACGTCAGCTGTGGTTTATAGCTTGTACACTTTCTATGCATATCTAACCAACTGCAGTTTATTGTTAATCCTTGATTTATAACAATTGAGCCCAAAATTTCCAATGCTAAGTGAGAGTTAATTTTGCCCCATTTTATGACCTTTCTTGCCACAGTTAAGTGAATCGCTGCAGTTGTTAAATTAGCAACATGGTTAAGTGAATCTGGCTTCTCAACTGATTGCTGTAAGGTCACAAATGACGATCATGGAAAACAACCATCTTGAGTGAGTTGCCAAGTGTCAGAATTTTGATCACATGCTGCAACAGTCTTAAATGTGAAAAATGGTCATGTTCTTTTTCAGTGCCACTGTAACTTCAGTCACTAAATGAACTGTCATAAGTCGAGGACTACCTGTATACATTCACATAAGCTATGTCTTAGCATCTGTGTGAGACCAGCCATTTAGCCACCCAGCCTGTCTTGTTTGCTCTGATTTACAACCTTCTCTAACATTTATTATGCTGCTCACCTCCTCTATAAGGTGGACTCTGGGTGGCTTACAAGTGATAAACATCTGTAATCATGTCTTATTTTTTTGAAAAAGAACGATGCTTTAACTCAAATTGAGGCACACAAGAAATGTTCAAAAGCAAGCCCATCCAGGCTTTAGATTGTCTTCTGAACCTATTTCAATGAATAGTTGAAATACATTAATTAAAACTTTCAATCTTAAGTACAAGCCAAAGCTAGTTGCCAGTTTGGCTGCCAGAATTAATCTATGTTAGTGCATAGGATGCATTTTATGTCAAGGAGTGGGCAAGGAGAGAGAACAAGAATGCACAACACTGGGAAAAAAAGACACAATCTTTTAATTCCATACAATTACAAAAAAGACATAACTATTATCAGAAAGCGGTTCCAAAAAATTTCAGAAATTTTTGCTGGAGTTTTTTCCTATCTTCAGCAGGCCCTTGGCTTTTTCAGCAGGCCTATAGCAAATTCCAAGGAAATCTCTGAAGACCTAAAATAAAAAAGTTTTTTTAAAATTACCCCAAGTAGTTTTTTTCATTGCCCCCCTGAACCAGTTTTACACTACCCCACTGTGTATGCGCCAAGTATCCCCTCTCTGCACTTCCGAATACTAGGTTAGAGAGTAAAGAAGAGATGAAAAACTTTGATTTCTGGAAACAAACAATGATGCCAACACCCCTGCCTCATCTCAGCCCCATATCCGCAGGATTCATCCAGCTGTCACCATTAGCAAATCTGTCATCATAGACAAGGCAGAGGTGGTGTAGATCTCATATGCTACATGTTCAGAGTTACTTAAAAAGTGGCTACCGGGTATTACACTATGTAACGCAGATCTATGATCATCAGGAAGCACTCATATTTACATTGCTGTCATTTGCTGAGCCGTCCACTCCACCAGAAGGCCTTCTCCAGAAGAAAAATGGAAGGTCACCACATTGTCCTGTTCTCCTGTAGAAAGAATGTGGGCGCTGAGAGCCAATATACAGTTTTACAACTAATTTCCATAAAATGGTAAATTAAATGCAGTGCACACTAATAGTAGGATGTTAAAATGAGACACGGACGAAGGCAGTTTAAAGTTACTATACAGCTAGTCCTTAACTTACGACCACAATTGTGTCCAAAATCTGTTGCCAAGTGAGAAATTTGTTAAGTGAGTTTTGCCCCATTTTACGCCTTTTCTCGCCCAATTTGTTAAGCGAGTCACTGCAGATCTTAAATTAGTGACATGGTTGTTAAATCAATCTGGTTTCCCCATTGACTTTGCTTGTCAGAAGGTTGCAAAAGGGGATCACGTGACCCTGGGACACTGCAAAATGTCATAAATGTGAGTTGTCAAGCATGTAAATCACGTGACCATGGGGATGCTGCGACGGCTGTGTGAAAAATGGTCACAAGTCACTTTTTTCAATGCTGTTGTAACTTTGAATGGTCACTAAATGAACTGTTGTAAGTTGAGGACTACCAATATTCAGTAAATACTTCTATTTAAAGATCCTTTGACCACTTAGAACGGAAAAGCTACAGTACAAATATGAGCATCACTGCTCAAAGTGAATTTTAATTATTTTCCAGAGTACACCAACAAGCCAGCATCACTTTACTTTAGTTCTCCCCAACCTGGCACTCTTTTGAAGAGTGGGGACTGCTGAATCTAAGAAGGCTCGCTCAAAGCAAGCACACATTTATGCTTGAAGATCAACTATGGAATGTATGACCATCTGTTTCAAGGCAGCCCAGTTCAATGCTGGATTTATCCCAGCAAAGATGTTAGGACCAGCTTGTTTTACTTTGCCTCCTTTTTGACCATAAGATCAGTAATTGGATCTGATGGGAAAGGGATAGGGAGGGTCCGGAATGCTACTTTCTTTTCATCCCACCTTCTCTCTGTATCACATAGAAACACCACCCATCTCCATGAAAAGCATAAACAGAGAGAGTACCTTGCAGGCTGAGCTGCTAGCTTCGACGGTTACCAGGGAAATGAGGATAATGGCATCTTTTCCAATCATCGAGCACTTCCAGACAGCAACTGAAACATATAAAAACAACCAACATCTGAATTAAAAACCATTCGAGATTGTCTAAGCAAAAGCAGGAATGATTGCATTTCATTAGGATTTTAAAAATCCTAAACATAAATGAGCATTAGAGCCCACATTTCTAGACAGTTACTATTAAATGAAAATACTACTTGGGAAAAAAAGTCTCTGAATGAAAGCTATTCAGGTTGGCTTACAAACACTGAACAACATGGCTTGCAAGATCTTAAAAAAAAAACACCTCAGATTAAACAAGACCTTAAAATTCATGGAAACAAAAAAGAATAGAAAGAAGTTGAAGAGAATATGTCCCATGGGAACCATCTCTAGTTTATATCTAGAGAGCGCGCAAATGAATTCCTCAAAAGTCTGCAGCGGTGTTTCTGAACTTCAACAGCTTTAAGTCCTCCTGCCTTGGGCAGGGGTTAGACTAGAAGACCTCCAAGGTCCCTTCCAGCGCTTTGATTCTAAGCCCACACATCTTTAACCTTGCTCTAGAGGAGCACGCAAAAGAATAAAGAGGTGTTCAATCCTGTGGACAGGTTAATGCTTCAGAGTGTAGAAAGGTCGAGTGACATCCTCAGCTACCAATGGCTGGGAAGTCAAAGTCCTTCTCATCTTATTCTTGCATGTTGTTGGAGACCTTGTGGCTACTGGCTAAACCACAACTCTTGGTTTAACATGCCAACCCATTTTCTTGACTTGACCCAAGAAACTCGTGGATCCTCAAACTTTTGAATGGTGACTTTCTAAAACGATGAATTTATGTTAATCACGTCCCTCTTATGAATACTGTAAAGCAGTTATTTTACTGGGGTGAAGCTAGAGAGCCACTCTGGTGTAGCAGGCTAAAGTGCTGGGAATCAGAAGACTATGAATTCTAGTCATCCTTTAGGCATGAGAGCCAACAGTCCAACCTGCCTCACAAGGTTGATGTTGTGAAGGAAATGTCCGGAATTGCACAAAATAAAGATGAGTTGAATATAATAGAATGCAAGATATAAACCTAAACAAATAAAGCAGAATGTCTATCAGATTAAAAAAATGATCATCGCCTCCCCACCTCAATTTGAGATCTCTTGAATTAACTAAAAGGAAGCGTATAGACCAGTATTTCTCAGTCTGGACCATTTTAAGACAGGTGGACTTCAAGTCCCAGAATTCATATTGGCTGGAGGTGGGAGAATTCTGGGGACTGAAGTCCACACATCTTCAAATGGCAAGGTTGAGAAACACTGGTCTAGACTTACATCGGCTATAATCCTCTGCTGAGGATCATTTGCAAGTGTTCTTATGTCAAGTCGGGACAGGCTTTTATGAACAGCCATGTCCAGCTTCAAAGCAGCAGTCCACCTCATCTCCTTTCCTGCTGAAAGCTAATGGGAAGAAAAAGAGAATTAGACAAAGCCAAGCTACTACAGGACTCCAAAATTAGGCACAGAGATTTATCTTGATTGTTTTTTAAATATTTCCAAGAAATTTTTTTTAACTATTTGCCAATTGAAGGAGAAACGTAATTCATTACTACACCAGGTTGTTTTAAAAAAAGGATTTGGGAAGATTACGTCCAAAACTATTACTATCTTTTATTTTTAATTTTGTTCTTGATATAACAAGAAGTTACAAAGTATTTTATCTGCAGTTTCTTTCCTTGATTGCAGTATATACATCATCTATAAAGTTAGCTCCTATAAATTCAGAACTCATGGTCTATGCTGCTTTGCCTTCAAACTACAAAATGCCATCAGTGAATATGAAAAACATGTATTTCCCCCAAAATGTTGCTGAAGAGTTATGGGAGAACAAACTAAACAGCGACCGTCAAAGAAAAATATTATTTTAGGCTCCTTTTTGACTGCATCAGCTACAGGTAAGACAGATGCAGCTTCGATAGGGCCATGTAAAAAAAATGCTCAACCTTCCTAGGTAAACCAGACAGGAAACACAAGATGAGCTAAATTACCTTATTGTAAGGCTACATTAACAGAATCTTGCAAGTCTGAAAATACAAACTTCCTCACCACTTTTAACAGCCTGATCCACTAGGATTTGGTCCTTCCTAAACATTGCTGGTTAGGTATCTGTTTACTGCTTTTTGACAATTTGTTTTATGCATGATTTAAAACAGCGTGTTGGCTGGGGAATTCTGGAAGTTGAAGTCCATGCATTTTCAAGTTGCCAAGTTTGAAAAACATGATTTAGATTGAACTTGAAAAATGTACTAGAATTCTGCATGCTGAAAAGCACCAGACACAGCAGCTGGAGAAGGTGGGAATCCAACACATTCAGTGTGGAAAGCTAGATTTGATCTCAAGGCCCAGCTGAGATATTAGCCCCTAGAACAGCATTTCTTAACCTTGGCAATTTTAAGATGTGTGGACTTCAGCTCCCAGAATTCCCCAGCCAGCATGGACTCCGTTAATGGAGATAGCAATGCCCATGAAGCAACCTGGTATAAATTCCCGGGAGTCTGGAAAAAAATCTTTTAATTGCACCACTTAAACTACATCCATAAAAACGTTAGAAACGGAAGCTGGCTGGAGGACTCTGTAGGCCTAATAGAAGAATCCCCTTTTGAAGACCTTTTCTATGAAAGGCAGGATTCTGCCAAACTAAATGGGCTCCCGCAGATTCTGAGATGAAAGGGGGGGGGGTGTCTGGACGACCTGCGAGACCGCACTCCTTTTAGTCTCCCACCGCCAAAGCAACACTGACACGGGAGGGAAGCACCATTCCCCACACAATTAGGGAATCTCGCGTGGGAGACAAATTGCAAGAAAGCGCCCAGACTCGAAACCAAGCCCCGGTGCCCGCTTGGCCGCATTTCCCTTCTTCCCTGGGATGGAGTACTCTCTTACTATGAAATTAAGCGGCTAAACAGGAATCGCTTCGAATTAATTAGGAGGATGGCGAGGGATGGAGACGTTTCGCCCCGCTACGAAAAAGGAGCCCTACTAACCTGCCTCTAGGTCGCCGAGCACGGAAAGAACGGGGAACTCGCCGACGTCGCCTTTTATAGCGCCTGTTAACGTCTAATTCGATTGGCTCCTTTCAAAAAAAGGAGTCCTGAAAGGGCTCTTGGGAAATGTAGTTTCTCCAAATCCACGTCAGGTCAGCAGGGCGAACACACTTTCAAGTTCTTATGAAAAGATTTTATTATATCAAACGAATGAACAAGGGGAAAAAATGGATAGGCTTATTTTGAACAATAATTATTAACATTGAAATTAAAGAGAGAACAACCCAGCTTGTTCCAACTGGGAAGGCACAAACAAAAGAGCTGTAAAATATTTGACCAAATGGCTTGGAAATCGAGTTTGCCTTTTTCTGCAAACAGAAAAAATAGACTTTTAGCAACACATTTCAACCATCCCTTGCTGAAAATCAGGTACAAAATTCCTGCACTGCCAATTCAATGGATTCCTGGTATCTTATACATGCTAGGGACCTATTCAAAATACGTATGCCTCCTTAGTATATATAGCCATACTTGTGGGTGTGTGGATTATCTCTAACTAGAGGAAATATTAAACTTAATATGTTGCCTAAAGCTGCCATTTTGTGTTCATGAAAACCAGAATTTGTAACCAAAGTGCAAAGAATATGTAGACTTAAAAAAAAATATTTTTTCCATGTTCCATCTACCCATCCCATTGTCTTTGTATCTAGACACAAATCAAATCTCAAATGTTCTGCTTGTGGATCAAATGTTTGAGATCTACAGCCTATCCACAATCCCGTGAAAGGTCGTGTATTCTGATTTTCAGATACAATATTACCTGATGTTTTTTTTAAAAAGAAATCATACAATTCATGTTTACTTGAATATTCCATTTCATAGGTACACCATTTTGACAGGTTATTCTTACCCGGTAAGACTTAGTGACTTGCATAAATTTCTCTAAATTTCTGAATTGGAAATAAACCCAATGTAAATGTTCACGTTTTCCTTTCCCTGCAGAAATGAACTAGGTGGACATCCACTGGAGACTTTAACACCTATTTGCTTATAGCAATTTTCCTTTAATCCTCACTACAATAAACGCAGTGTAGTCGTGGGAATCATCCTATTAACAATACAACTTGTACAGCAACAAGCAAAACACCTCAGGCTGATATGGCCTGTAATCCTATCTAGAGATACTAAAAATGCCAGTTTATAAAACTGGCCCAGCATTGCTCAAAGTGTCAAAATCCCTGCCCTTCTCTGCATCTTATAACAAAGATAATATATAAAGGACAGTATCTGTGTATTCAAAAGTGAGGGAAGCAACTTTTATTCTTCTTTGAACACAAGATTATTTATTCAATATAGTTGCCCATCTCAATCCAATTCACCTGTAATCAGACACTAGGAACTTCTGTCAATAATTACTGCATTTAGTTCATTATCTTCATATTAAGACTGACTTCAAATTGCACATCAGTGCAACTCATGAGTGAAATACCGGACCTCATTTGTGGACTTTTTTGCTCTTTTTTTTTCTAGTAGAATTCTGAAGTCCTAGGAAATTCTGTTGCATCCTTTCAGTGGCTCCCAATAAAGATATTATCCAACTATGGAGTACACAACTAAAATTTCTCTGATCACTTTAGACTCTTCATATTAAAATAAAATATTTGGTTGTTTTAACAGAAGTAGCCTCTACATGCTTCAAAATGCACAGTTTGTACCACTTTCAGAAACTGGTAAATATTTGTCCAAGTTATTCCATCTGCTCCCTCAAAGATTTTTTTTCCATACTGCGGTTTTGCTTCAAAATCATTTCTACAGAGTTTTTTTCAGCATATAAAAAGAAAGCGCTCATGGAACTGATCCATGAACCGACTCCTGATCCCATTTACCCTATGGAGAACACCAGATACCCCACCTTACTGTGTAAAAGATACTTTTTTATTATAGTTGGAATTAAGATTTCCCATCTTTTTTTATTTAGTTCATAAATTAGAACTTCTTGGCTAGGATAAACAAGTCTTGTCTTAGGATCAATAGGGTGGGAAGGGAGAAGAAATAAAACTAAGTCCCCAAGTTCTAATTTCATCTCAAATAAGTGACCACAATCCCCCTCTGCTACTATCTGCTGCTCCACGAGTCCAGGAAGAACCCAAAGCTGTTCTCTGCATCCTTGACTTGAGAATCTGGAGGAGAGAGAGGGACGAGTCCGTTTGCAGCTGCAACTTCCATACGCTTGGCAGGAATCCAAGGCCCACTGGCACACGGCTCGGAGGGAGCACATCAGCAACACGGCAATTATACAGCTTGGAGCTCTGAAGAAGCACTGTCCAAAGGCTGCCAATGGCATTCTATCAAGGCATCGTAGAGTTCTTCGCTCTGTTCCATAAACTGCTTGTTAGCTTCACTCACATCCATCTGGGGCATCGGATCTGCCAATGGAAGGAAGCCTACATGAGTGAATTTCGGAAGACATTTGTGTGAATGCTGAAATACAGAATTCTTCCTGGTTTGGGCTGTTGTATCTTGATTTAATAAGCTCCGATACCAATCAGAATTTTACTTGCACAGGCAACCTCTTTGAACAATCTACGAACCAGAACCTCAAACATTGGTTTAATGTTTTGTCCAAACTGGACGAAACAAAAAAGGACGATTAAGAAAGATTTCACTGAACTTAGTGCAAAGAGTCTGTGTAAATAAAATGCCTGACTATACAGCAACTGGGGAAATAAAGATACAGTTGTCAAAATTGGGCCATTCTCCATGTATTCATCTCAAGCACTGTAGCTTAGAAAATGATGGAGAGCTTTTTAATCCATTTGAGAGAAACTTTTGTTTCTCAAACTTTTGGAGTATAGTCTTAGGAGAGTTACATACATATAGCAATAGCACTTAGACTTATATACCGCTTCACAGCAGGGGTCCTCAACCTTGACAACTTTAAGACTTGTGGACTTCAACTCCCAGAATTCCTCAACCAGTCCACAAGTCTTAAAGTTGCCAAGGTTGGAAACCCCTGCTTTATAGCTCTCTCTAAGTGGTTTACAGAGTCAGCATATTGCCCCCAACAATCTGAGCCCTCAATTTACTAACCTGGGAAGGATGGAAGACTGAGTCAGGATCGAACTCCTGGCAGCAGGCAGAGTTAACCTGCAATACTGTATTCTAACTGTCACCACACAAGGATGATACAGCACAATCAAAAACACACTTTTGACCAACTGGGGTTTTCTTCCCACTAGCAGCTCTATATTTGTAAATGCAAATACTTGTTTGGATTAGCAAATCTATTTACTCATAATACATCTAGAGTATCCAATATTTCAATCTTTTCAAAGCTTTCTGCTGGCCCAGAAGTGATTTGGTTCGAATTGCCAAATTAGAAAAGGAAACTAATTTCTACTTCTAACGA